ATAGCGGCGTAATGAAACTGAAATAAATAAGACATAGGCCTAGGCCCCTATGCCTATGCAATATTTTTGGAAGTTCATTAGTAGATTTTGTATCGTGGTTTGATATCTGTTATTTTAACAGTATAAATCATTAATGATATAATTGAAGAAAAGCCTCATTAGCTGTTTATGATTGATAATGATATCATTTTTTAAAATTCTTACTAAAAGACCGAATAAATTATTGTTGGACTTCGTACATCCTGCACAGACTTCTTTCATTCATATTGAATTTAATGGCAATCAACCGATAATAATTTACTAAAAACAATTAAAGTGATTCTTCCGTCATTATTTCGTTCACCGTCATTAAATATGGTTCAAATAGAATTGAATAAAAAAATTATCTGCGAGTTTGTAGGTTTGACTACGCTCTATATTAAAAAAACAACAATCACAGGTTAGGTGAGCTTGTATAATTAAAGAGGCTATATAAGCTAAATGAACGTTTAACTAAATTAATGGTGAGATTATCCCCGAGAAAGCCACTTTAATATTAATAATAACAAACGTGCTAAGAAGCGGAAGTTTAATGCACCGTGCAGGATATATGACGTCACTGGAGGAAGTTACTACAGCGATAGATATCTACTTCCTGGTTTAAATAGCCGTTACGATTTTTTTTAAAAGAAATTAGCAACAATTTATTTGTTAAACGAAGCAGTAACACTATGTGTGAATTAAGGGGCCTAAGCCCTGCCCAGCCTATCACATTTTATTTGATAAAAACGTGACATGCCTAAATGTGTCATGATTACATCACACCATGACTATATTATTATAGGCACATCATGACTGAGCATGCAACAATTTTTTGTCAAATAAAATGTGATTGTTTGGATAAATCTTATAGCTATTTAGTATTATAACAATGTCAATTGTTTCATTAGAGTGGCAGAGAGGACGATCGATGTTTGTTTGAGTTATGAACTAGGCCAATACCCAGTGGCCTACATTGGTTTTCCGAGTGCGGTACAGTATGATACTGTTAAATTCGAACACTCAGTCAACATTATTTGCAATTCGAATATTACAAACCACAGACGCGACAATTTAAAGAACAAACCAAAACCACAGAATTGTAAAATATTAGGAATACCCATCATGTTTCTGAGAATTTTTTTTTTTTTTATAATGATAATGATAAATAGTGTTTTCATCTGCTCTTACGTTTAGTAAGGCCTCTGTTCTTTCCTATATTTTCAAACCCCTCTTATTTTTTTTCTTGCTATACGCACTTAATCATTATTTATACAACCTGGTTGATTAATCCACAGCGCCGGGATAAAGGTCGAGCTGGTGGGGCCTTGAGGCCGGGACGAACTTCAAATATGCACTTTCTCAAGATTTATCTCTAATTAGGCACGACTATGTTATAATATTCTGGATTCAAGATATGCCTAAATAATTTAGAATTCCTTGATGTTGTCTAGTGAGATCAATATTCCTATAAGTATGGTGCCAGGATAGCTATTTGGAGGTCCCACCGAATCACTTGCGAATTTTTCTCGCAAGTATTTGGGCCGTACTTGGACTTATTTGGTAGGCCTACGAACTCACGTCAGGTAGGGCAAAACATCACTCATGATATTCTCCTGACGCAAATTCACATCGAAATGGCAGTACCCGCTCTACTTGGTTATCTGGAGGTCGTAGGTTCGATTCCCACCCGAATCACTTGCGAATGATTTTTTTTTCTCAAGTGTTTGGGGACGTACTGAGTATTCCGAAAGGTCCACTGAATCTCAGATAAGATAGTAATAATACATACTCCAAGTATCGAAATGCACGCCATCGTGTCGGGAAACAATATTTCGACATAAATTACATCATTCCTGATGATGACATAATTAATGTCGAAATATTGAATCCCGATACTCTTCGATACTTGGAGTGCATTATCTTACCGAGTATTCGGAACGAACACACGTCAGGTAGGGCAAACTATCATGATATTTTCCTGACGCAAACTCGCATCAAAATGGCATTTGCAGTACGCGCTGCTACTTGGGGATCGGATTCAACACTGTCACTAAGCGCAAGCTTGGTAGGCTAGTGGTTATGGCGCCAGGCTAGTTATCTGGAGGTCGTTGGTTCGATTCCCTCCAGAATCACTTGCGAATCGCAAGTATTTGGTGACGTACTGAGTATTCGGACGAACACACGTCAGATATTTCAAAACATCACTCCTACCCTATATAGTAAAGTTACATATTTTGATACCTACCGTATACTGGATTAACCAAAACGCTGAAATTCTAAAGTTCATATTTTTTGTTTTAAAACGTGATTCTATGTGACTTAAGTGGTTAATAATTAATTAAAATACAGTAATCGTAAGTTAAGTTGTTAAACGGCCTCCGGCCCACCCTTGGGAATCAAGTAGCAAAAATAAATAATTAAATTTTGATTCTTCACTTCCAAATAAGCGAATAAAGCAATTTCAACTGGCACTGCACGCACTGTATTGCCATAGGTCCATGGTATTACTAATACCATAATACCGGTACCGAATATTATCGGTGTATTGAAAAGCTTAACTATATTAACTTTATTGTTTGTTTACATTCAGGAGAAGGACCTTATCTGTAATATATGGTGCCGGATGCGCTCCATATCTCAATCCGGGTCAGCTTTTATTCTCGTCCGATATCTTGTCCCTGAATTACCCCTTTTTATACGAGGGGTGTTATTTAGGTCACAGGTGTGGTGTTGCTTATATTCTTAAAATTTAATAATAATGATAATAATGATAATAATAATAATAATAATAATAATAATAATAATAATAATAATAATAATACCAATTATACTACTTTATATAATGTTTATGATGATATGATAATGAAGACGGAGGTGATGATTATGATGATGATGCAGCATGACGATGATGAAAGGAGTATACGAGGGAGCCATTTAAGTCACATAAGCACATACTTACATTCTTAAAATCAAATAATACGGTAATAATAATGATAATACTGTAATAATAATAATAATAATAATAATAATAATAATAATAATAACAATAATAGTAAATAATAATAATAATAATAATAATAATAATAATTTAATAGGCCCTATAATAGCAATACTACTACAATATTAATGATAATGCATGAAAATGTAGATGATGATGATGAAGATGTTAAATATAATACGGTAATAATAATGATAATACTGTAATAATAATAATAATAATAACAACAATAATAGTAAATAATAATAATAATAATAATAATAATAATAATAATAATAATAATTTAATAGGCCCTATAATAGCAATACTACTACAATATTAATGATAATGCATGAAAATGTAGATGATGATGATGAAGATGTTAATGACAACTATAAGAGAACCATGAAGCTTATAAGGAAACTTTTTAAAATGAAATGTTTGTGATAATGATACTAATGATAATGACGATGACATTAATAAAAGAACATAGGCCTAGTCCTAGTGCTTGTAAGGAAACCTAAAATGAAACTTTGCGGTGATGATGATGACGACGACGATGATACAGATAATGATGACGATAACTGATGGCACTATTAAAAGCACATGGACATGATAATTATAAAAGAGAAACTTTTTACAATAAAACGTTTGTTTGTAATGGAAGCCATGACGATGTTTGGTTTGAATGGGAGTGATATGTTTAATTTTAATATTTTTGAATGTGTATGACGTTTGTGAAACGAAAACCTGGCTATGAACTTCTTGTCTATATTACAGGGTGAAGTTCATTGCTTTTACATTTATGATTTATGATCTACTTCACTAGCTTACGACAACCAAATAGGATCCAGGATACAACGGGGTACGAATGGGGACGGGTTTGAAGTCCGCTAACCAGAATTTCTTCCCATAAAGATAAGTGCGTCAATTGGCTTAAGGACTTCAGAATTATATACATCATCGTTATGGGAGAAACGAAGTAGAGTAATGCAAATAATATTCGGTTTTGTTTATCCAAGTCTCGGTAATAGGTGTTCTGTTCCATTTTTAAAATTTTATTTTTTAAGACGAAATGAAATGGCATGAAAATGTTTGACGAAATTGATGATGGCCTATGCCAACTGTTTTCACCGTACATGAACGGCGATCAGAACAGATGAGCAGGAACATAGCCAGCATCAAGAAGGTGTAGATTCACCTTATCGGTTAGCATATTGATAGCACAGCATGCGAAGATAAAGAAAATGATTACGTAATAATTTAGCAACGGACATCGACTCCCAGCGGCCGCGATGCGTATATTTACGGACCATAAACACATTTGTCTTTCTCCTAATGTATCCCGGTAGGCCGCCGTATTGTCTGAATCTCATGAATGATGGAAAATGAAGAGTTAGGCCAGTATTTCAGTTGTCTATTCTCCAAAATTTCGGTATGTGTTACACTTTCATTCGTCTACGATTGGTTGATAATGCCACACGCACCTTCTTTTTAAAGTTATAGGTCTTAAGTGACGAATACATTTTCCCATATTTGCCTATTATATCATGGTTGTGATACGTCATCATCATGCCCCTTATGGACATATCAGACACATCTTGTCACATGAAACACGATAGTGACAAAGCACCCAATCACATTATATTTGTCAGTTAAATCCCGAGTGAGAACCAAGAAACACGCGTGCTCAGGCAAGTGCATGGTACAAGAGGCCGCGCTGTGTATACACAGCCCCTTTAAGTGTTCAATCATTTAATCTTCGCAAAACATGTAGCAGTCAATCTGCACTGTAGTACTGGTGCATTTCCTGTTGTCATTTTTTTCTAGATTTGTGGGACAGGGAGCTCGGCTATTGTCTTAAGATGTGATGGATGGTCTTTTTAATTTACTATCACGTTGGGGTTTTTTGCAGGAAAACGATTATTGGTTCAACCGTGAGCCAATCAAAGACTAGATGAAACAGTGTTTCAACACAAAAGACGCAAACATAAAACTAAAGTTACATTTTTTCAGATACTTATTTTTTATTTTCAATAATAAAAATATATGAATTACAATTACTGAAAATACCATGGATGGAACACGAATTGTAAAAAAAAAAATTATTATATGAACCTCGCAACAAAGCCATAGACCAGGGGGAAATAGGATGTGTTTTGCGACAATCCGTGGGGGAGGGGGTTCGATGGGTGTTAAAAACAAAACGACCATTAAATTTTCATTGGAACAGTGATTTAGTTGCGCATTCCCAATTTTAAAGGTAATTCTAAAACGAAGGCATGTCATGAAGGCATGTTTTGGTTTGTCCCAGCCTGTGGTATCTGCCAGAGACGAATTTATTAGGATCATATATTCTAATATATTCAGAGATATAAACATATATTTACACAGTCATTGTATTGGAAAAAAGGTAACACATTTGTGACCAATATCAATAAGCTTAGTATTTATACAAGCATTGTTAACCAGATTTAACACCTACGTTCCAAACACTTGAGGCGTGTGTGATTTAAAAGCCCAAATAACCTGTTAAATACGAATTGCCTATAGGCAGATAAACAGTAGATAATAATTATTTTAACCCATCGGTCGGCCCTTTGAAGGCAATAATCGGGTACTCTACATAGTTAATTGGGTTTTATTATTATTATTATTTTTATTTGACAAAAACATGTGACATGCCTAAATATGGTCATGATGACATCACATCATGATCATATACAAGTGCATTATGACTATATATGGGCATACAACAGTTTTTTTGTCAGAAAAAAACTTAATAGAGCGTGGAAAGTACTTAACATAGTCTTTGTACATTGTAGCATTAGCAAATAAATCAAGTCAGGATGTTTACATTTTTAAACAGCATTAAAAAATAAAAACAGGTTCAAATAGGTGAGAGGTCGTCCTACTAGAGTATTTGATTTGATTGATTCGCAGCTCAACATTTAAAAGTAGAAACATTTGAAATTACATTAGACAACCCCAAAAATCCTGAAAGAGCTTTAAATTTTTCAACTTCTTTTTACGAAAGCACAAAACATATGATAGGGAGGTTTACATGGTAGGCCTATATAAAAATGAAAAAAAAAAAAAAAAATGATCCAAAAATTACAACAGCATTTTACGTAATCCTTTAGGGATTGGGGGGAGGGGGAAGAGAGGGTCACAGAATAGAATGTCTTGTACCCTCTTGAAAATGATACAAAAACTCCAGTGAGTGAGTTTATGGCGAGACTGGTAGATAAGTAATTAGGATTTGATAGTGAATATGCAGACTGAACTTGTTCCACAATCTACATAAATTTAATATTGTGTATTTGCCTCACCGATTTTTCAATGAAATCATATCCTGGTTTTGGGTAGAAGCTGTGTGGGTGTTGAGTCAAATTAAACACTTGCTACTCCGCTCATACAAAGCAAGTCAACAAAGAAGATTTGAAGTTAAAAGTGAACCTAATTGTGCTGAAAAGTTTGTTGAACCAATTGATTTAAATTGAACAAAGTATTAAATCCTGGCGGTGAAAAAAAAAAAAAACAGTTGTCACTTTAAATTCAATCAAATCTAATGCTATTATGCAATCATGTAGCTATACTGAGGTTGGCGTAGGATGATGCATACAGTATTTGGCAAACTAAAAGCAATTACTTTAATCAATCAATCAATCAGTACCGATCAACAAATTAATCAATTAATCCATTTATCAATCATTAAATCAAACATCAATCAAATTAATCAAACATATAATTAATTAATAAAACAATAATTTAAAAGAAGATTAATCAAACAATGAATCACTGAATCAAATAATAGATCAACCAGACAAAGATTAAAACACATATGGAAACGTTGTATCATTTGCTCTCCAAGGTCGCCTTAACCATTGGAGAAAGTTGGATTTTTTTCACAAAAGTACGTTTTTGGTACAAAATCTATGTAATAGCCCAAGCGGATTATGTTGTAAAAAATATTAATCTACCAATTCGTGAAGAAAAAATGAAAAAAATCCCTACAGTTTTCTCGGAATACGCCGATTTATAACAGCTCCTCACGCCGATTTAGATAGGCAATTTCAAGAAATTTGAGGTTTTTGGCTGTTCCAAGCTCATTTCCTACTCCCTCACTCACAGACCATTTGTTTGTTCGAATTGGCCCAAGTGGATTCGTGGAGAGAATATAATAAGCTTGAAGCTGATATAAAACTTAGTATGATTGGTTGGGTAGTTTTATCGAAAAAAAAGAAAACAACAAAAATCCATCCAATCCACGATTGCCTCTCATGGGGTCAAAAAATCTCTCAAGCGTGATAGTCCGATTCACTGATATGATGTCATACTTCTGTTTGCTTGACTTGCGTAATTTGGCCTAATTTAGTTATCAGTTGGATTTTTTGTGTACTTTTATTACCTTTATTAAAAAACAAATGTCCCAAGACAAGATACTTGCAGCAATTAGGCTATATTTATGCAAAAAATGCAATTTATAGTCTGGACCGTTTGAAAATTTCCGTAGGGGTCTACCTTAGGGCTAAGCCAATCCTGCCAACACGAAAGCGTGGACTAGGGGAAGAGAGATCTCAGCATTTGTTTACTTTACATTGTACCATGTTATGTGTTCAAATACAAGTTTTAACAAAAGAATATCGACTGTGCACATTGAGTTTTGTTAGTATTTAACCCCATAATGAACAAACCCAATGTTTTTAACTGGTCGAACCAAACTGCTTGTACAGCGGGGTTGATTTGACCTCAGTTCGCTGCTTTCGTGATAGCTGGACTAGCAAATGATAAAAAGTGGCAAAAACGTTTCCATATGCTGTTAAACTTAATCCAATGGCATCTTGTGTCAAGAAAAATAATACAAATCAATGTTATTGCTGCTATTTGGGATCAGATTGATCACTAGCCACCAAGTGCAAACTTGGTGGTTGAGTAGTTAAGACACCAGGCTAGTTATCTGCAGGTCTTGGTTTTGATTCCCACCCGAATCACTTGCAAAATTTTTTTTACAAGCATTTGTGAACGTATTGAGCATTCAGTACTATATCAGGTAGGGCAAACATCGATTTGATTAAGCAATTTATCAAACATCATTTAATCAATCAATCGATCAACCAATTCAATAATATAGGAATCTATCAAACAATCTACCAAACAGTATGTATTTTTTTTCAACAAAATTGTGAACTTTTCACCGATGTTTTGGTCTTGAAAGATACACTGAGAATAACATATAATGTCCCAATTGTCTTGGACAACAATAGTTAAATACAAAGTAAAACACCAATTAGAGGGCGAACATAAAATAAATTATAATATTTATAGTACTACTATCAACATATAGTTTAGAGTTCATATTTTTCATATGAGGTATCAGCAATAAATGCAAGAAAATACAATAGGGACCTATTAGAATGTAGGAACCTATATGAAGTATAATTAGAATGTAATACATTATAGTGTACAACAACTACAGACCCTTTGATCTTCCTCTCCATTGTACTGCACTAATCTCTTTTTTAAATGGAGTTTACAGGGACTTTAAAACCAGAGATTTTATTTTCATACGTAGGAACAAATAACACTTTTTGCAGATTAGCTGGAAGAATTGGACTGCAGGCTTTTGTATGCTATATATATTTTTTCAGGCAGTTTCGCACTTCCACTTCAGGAAAGTCACAGGTTTATTCTTTAGTATTTATTGCATAATAATAAATACTGTACTGTTGCTAGCAATTAACATTTAACTGTCGACTATAATTACTACATACTGATCCTAAATTTAGCTCAGTCGAGTTCTTTGTGAAGTAAGTTGTCTTAATCTTCTCTTGAATCACAAACAGCTCAAGACTATGGAGTTGCATTTTTGTGTAAGTCTGAAAAGAGAAATTAAAGAGACAAATTAAATATGGCAACAGTTATCCTAAATAAGGAAACAGCTATCCCAAAAACAGCAACTGCTCTCACAAAAAGGCAATAAATCTCACAAGAAAGGCAACTACCCCTTTCATAAAAAGCAACAGCTCTCTGAAAAAGGCAACAGCACTCCAAACAAGATAACAGCACTCCAAACAAGATAACAGCTCTCCCAAGGAAGGCAACAACTCTCACAAGAAAGGCAACAGTTTTCCCAAGAAAGGCAACAACACTCCCACAGAAGGATGCTTTATTCAGTGTAAATATAGTGTTAACAAAAACCTTTTATATTACAGTAAGTTTTTTTTTGTATTCTTATTATGATCTATTTGTATAAACATAGAGAATGTAAATTTACATTATTCATCACAGGTAGTCTCACTGTCTATTATACACACACTTAAAAGCGCACCCTTTTTTGTTAACTCAGCTGATACGTTGTTTAACCGCGCTTACTTACAATCTATTTTCAGTTTCCAGGACTATAAAAACTAGAGATTTGTAAGTGGAAGTGAAATATACGAAGTAATAAAAAAAACCAAGACTTCAAAATGTTAATCCTCCTAAAATCAAATGTTGTTTATTAGCCGAAAACCCGAGCATCTTAACGTTATGCTGTGTCTCCTACGGAGTCATGTTAGAAGCAACAGGTGCGGACCAAGTCCACAGGGAAGTAACAGCACATTTTTAAATGCCATTAACGCAAGAATGCCAACCCCCTAGGGCATGCTAACAAAATGAAACATGATCTGAAACAGTTGGTTCTATGACATTTTTAATATATTCTCTACTACTGGTGATAACTATATGACCAGCTTGGGGGTTCCAGAAACCAAAAACAACCACTGGATTCAAAAATAGGAGAGTATGACACAGTTTCTTGATACCAATGCAGCAACAGTCACTCAAATAATACAATAGAGACAAAATCATGCCACAGTATTGAACTAATTTATCATATCATATATCATTTATTTCGCTTGATAAAACATAATGTACATAGTAATTCTCTGAGGTGGGATTACCTACAGTAAATGATTCAATATCAAAAAAACATAGTCAATGCTCTGTCCAGACTGAAATCTTTATTTGACAAAAAAAACTGTTGTATGCCCATATATAGTCATGATGAGCCTATATATGGTCTGGATGTTGTGATGTCATCATGACTATATTTAGGCATGTCACACATAATGAGATAGTCCGGACAGAGTTAAAGTCAGGCTCCGGAGGGAAAAAAATTGTTGATATGTTGTAGAACTGATTTTTCTACGACAGAAAAAAGGTGTTTGACGAAAAACAAGGGAACGGTGAATGAGATACAGATTTTTTAATATTTAAAAACTGGGGAAATAAGGTGTAAAAATGGGCAGTTACAGTTGAGAGGTTCTCCACAAAGAAAAATTTTACATAAAAATGCAAAGCAACTATTCTTATTATTATCAAACCTTTAAACAATACCTTATTATTATCATCATTTGGTTATTATTAAAGGATGACTATTAAAATTTATTACAGAATTTTTGTAATTACTATTACTATTATCATCAGACTTGTTAATTATTGTAGGCTTAATTCCTTTTATTTTATTGCTATTATCTACTTATTATTTATCATTTTTAAAAATTCTTTTAAATACAATCTATGTATCTGTACCTGTTAATCCATGCAAAATTTTCTAATCAATTAAAATTTAAGATTAATGAGATGCAGAGGATGCAGTATAATAAATAATTTTCTTTAATAGTAAAAAAACACACTGAATATTTTAAGTTTATTTATTTCATCACAGACAGTGATTTGATTTTTTTGGTTTCTTTTGCATTTATTGATTTTTCATACAAAAATCATTAATAATTTAATTTATTTAATCTTCATAACAAATACAAGAAAAACTCCAAGCTAACATATGAACTGAAAGTTCAAAAAATGCCAATTACATACTGAAACATTTTTCAGCTGTACAAAAGGAAATGCTAAAAAAAAAAGCAACAATCAGCTATTATTCAAAAGTGACAAAAACCACAATTTTGTAAATGATATAAAAAATATGTTTACAGGAAACACATGTGACAAGGCTAGGAATGCAGAAGCACTAGATATAATTTCACATTTCATGGTTTCATTGCAAGCCTTGGAGGGTATTTTTCAGCTGACTTTTCAGCATCCAGCAAAGCGCAAACCACAGATGGGTGATGATTGTGACACAGACCATAGAAACAAATCAATTTTACGCTCTCTTTTGGTCACAATTCCATGTTTGAAGAATCAGGCTAAGTTTCACCGAGGTCAAGTGTCACCAAGGTGGATTTTCAGGGACAAAATATTGGCTCTTTAGTCAGGGTTCTGTTGTTAATGGGATTAGCAATTTCAGGAAATGTAAACCAATATGATTACTGCACTGAATATAGTATTCACCAAAAATAAAAAATGAAGATAGGACTTTATAGAAATCTTGCACTGTTGCAGCTTATTTATAATAATAGCCTCAGGCTTTCAACAAGTACTGTAGAGTCACTGAACTCATCCCCTATATATGACATTTACAAAATATCATCATACACTAGCTACTCTTTATAATTCCATTACTTTAGAGATGGGAATTAATATAATCTCAAGTTCAAGTTCAATGTATATGTCACAGACTGAAATACACGAATTGTCAAAAAATAAAATGGATTTCATTTAGGCCAAATACAATTAATTGTTAGTTTCAAGTACGGGATTTTATATTATTTGTTGGTGAGGGTATTTACAATTAATTTTTTATTATTATCTCATCTACTAGTACGATCAATAAATCAATGAATTTAGTGGATCCACTTTTGATACAGTGGCACTCATACAAAATGTATGGTGCATCCAACAACAAAAATATAGGAAAATACTGAAAAATTGTCTTAAAAAAAAAAAAAAAAAGTAAATAATAATAAAAAATAAAAATGTTTAATAAAAGATGTAAAATGAATTTTTGTAATGTATTCTGCCATTGAGGTCCACCTCTTCTTCTCTGACAAGAATCTATCTGATTATCATTATTTTACCATGGAAAGAAGATAAAAAACAACATTAATTTACCATGGAAAGAAGATAAAAAAAAAAATTAGCAGATTGACATGTAGTAAATATTTTCATGAGACTCCAAAATTTGATGAGGACAGGGACATGCTCTGAGCAATTAACTTTATTTGGCCTTCATAGCTACATATAAAACAATGCACAGATATACTTCCCTGAAAAATTGGCCCCGGAAAAAAGGCCGTGGTAAAAAATGATCCCAAATGACAGAGGTACACCTACTAGAATGTATTATAGAGGGTATTACATAATCATGATTTTTTGGTTTTTATAGTTTTTTAAAATAAAAATCTCATTTGACATTTGACCTCAGCCACCTCAATTTTTTGCAAATTTTCTTCTTAATTTTTAAGAAATTTCAGTCTCAGTGTTGTTATAAAATGTGTTGTTATAAAAAAGAAAGTGTAATAAATATGAAAAAAAAAAAAAAAAAAATTGTTTTAATACTTTTTAAAATTTCATAAAATAATGAAAAATAACTGCAAAAAAAAAAAAAAAAAAATTGTTTTAATACTTTGTACATTTCCATAAGTTATTAGTCAATAACTATATGTAGTACAGTACTACAGCATGTATTACGTTTACGAAGTAATCAGTAAATTTAAAAAAAAAAAAAAAATTAACAATATCTTTTAAATCCAAAAACAATGATAATTGAAAAAAAAAATGGAACAAAATTAAATCAACGATCATATTTCATTCTAATCAAGGAAGTTATAATGTCTACAGGAATATTTTTTTCTGTCAGTTTTAATTTAGAGGTACAATTATGTCACGCCTATTCAATTATGGTCATCATTTTCTATGCATTATAATAAAGCACTGCAGATATGACTTTTGAACTTTTGGATTATTGCCAGGTCACATGACTTGGAAGTTTCTCTTGGCAGCGGCTGATGATTTATGCGAACATACAAAAAAGTCGGAAATGCCTATTGAATAAGCCATGAGAATCTGGAGCAGATAAACTTATAGAATGAGTATTCAGCTATAAAAAACAATGCAAATTTTCCAGAGGGAATTTGCACTAAATATAGAAAATAAGGGGTGGGGGGGGGAGGAATAAGGCCTATTCAAAAAAATTACTAGTTTCTCGTCCCCTTACACATCATTTTCTCTGCCTCACCATTTAAAAAAAAATTTATTTTATTTTACAAAATGTACAAAACAAGGAATTAAAAATTCAGTATTCCATAACAGAGACTACATTATAAGAATACAATAAGTTACTCAAATTGAATTATTTTTTAAACTTCATTAGCTAAAATATCCTACACAAATTGTATATATGATAGAATTTGTGCAACTTTTTGTGTTCAAATATAGAAACAGTGGAGAAAGAAAAAAAACTAATGAATTTCCCACTTGTAGTATTTGGCTTGATATGGTAGTGGGTTGTCTGATAATACCAGTCACTATTACCCCCTACATAGCGAAGACTTACTTTAACAGGTGGTTATTCTGATACGCAGGTCAAGAGGTCAAACTCAGGCTTCAAAAGCAGCTAACAAGATCATTGCTCGATTAGCTCATATGATGTTCAACATCTGTGCCTTCAGGTTGGTGCGAATATTCAAGATTTGTTGTCTGGTAACAAAATTAATTTCCAAATGTTTCTTGATGTCTAATCCAAAGGAGGTATTGGTTTATGGTTTGATACAGTTCAACAATCCAAGTGGATTCAAATGGAATAAATGATAATGACAGACATAAATTATTCTCTCAGAGGAGAAGAACATAGGAATATAAATATTAAAATTTAAGATGAATAAGAATTACATAAGAAATATAGGCTTATCTTATTTAAATATAACTGCAAACATCTTATAAAAAAATAGAAATAAATAAAAGGTCTAAGACCAGAATTATAGTGAAGGAAGGCATTGTCTTTTCGGAAATGTATCATTAATAAGCTTGAGTTTAATGTAAATATTTGATGAATAGCTTTCCCTCTCACTAACTTCTCTTTCGATCTGTCATTATCAGTACCCATATCAATAGACAGATGAATTCAAATTTATATAATAAAATCTTTAAAAGAGAGGAAATACAAAACACAAATATACAGAAGACTGAAGTCAAGTAATAAAAAACAAATAAAAATAATCATATGAATTCCCCTATGCTGTTTAATACTAAAATAATAAGCCTACATATTAACTGTTGATATTCATATCTCTTAAAAGCATGAATAGTGTTATTAGGGGTTGCCTATTGTATAACGGAATTAGTTGTATATATAGCTCCACGGTATGATACCAATAGGTACACTGTCCTCCTTACTTCCACAACAAAACAAATTAAAAATTTAGCCAAGTGATACCATGTTAATCTAATTGTATCCGGGTAGCAAACCCAGATACCTTTTAAATGTTTTGTTAAAGTAAGCCTCCATGCTTCATCCCTCTGATTGGACCGTTAGATGATGGTTACTGGATTAGTGAAAGCTTGGAGGTAATAATAGTCAACTAATGACCTATCATTAATTATATCTCCATGGTCAAGGATAGAGTATGTTTTGAATTAGTCACAGAAGTATGGTAAACATAGGCTAAGTAAAGGTTAATAAAGTAGAAATTTTGCTACTACTGGTAATTACCACTAAACGTATTCCTGACATGTAGCACGCTAGCTTCAACAGACGTTTTTTTTTTCCTACAATGGTCATGCTGCCTTCTTTGCAACCTTTCGCCAATTATGCATACTATTATCATGATAAGCCAAAATAAACCCCCGGTGAAATCACCCGAGAAATAAACTTAGTTCATCCAAAAAAGTGTTACCTTCGTTTTACGGGTATAGCCTTTGTCCCGTGTGAAAAGATATGTAATGCGTGTCAGCTACAGATAATAGCTACAGTTCATTGCTCATTTAAGAAAAGTAAAAATATTTTTATGAAAATGATACTAATAATTAATAATTTCCAACTAGGTAAGTTTCACTATTAGTGTAAGTATGTAATAAGTCATGACATGACATGACCTGATATAACCTGACAGCACATGTCATTTCACTACTTTGCCATATGGAAACTGAAGTCTTTTATCTGTGATGCTAACACTGGACCTTAATAAGATTTAGGTCTATATAATTAGAATAATAGTCTTTATGCATAAACAACAAACAATAAAGTTATTCTTGTACTATGGTATATATTGAACCATAAATTTCTGGCTATAATAAATTCTATTAAAGTAGGCTATATTTAAAAATGTAAATAACATACGATTAAAGTGATGACTTAAATGCACCATTATATATCATAACAATCTATACAAATAATAATAAGTGTTTGTATAATTGTTAATCTCATCTAAGCCTGGTTCTCTTGAGAGCGCTAGTATTCCGGATCGGGAGTTAACCGTTAGCGCTCACCGTTAGCACCTGTGTGAGAACGTCCAATCGGTTAGCCCTAACCGTTAGCTGTATCCGGATACCGCTAACGGTTAGCAGGCGCTATCGGTTAGCAAGTGAGCACATGTCTATCATCAACCAATCACATGTACGCGTTTACAATTTCCCATTTCTTATTTGCTAGTGATTCGATCATCATTATTCTTGGTATCCGGATCGGGAATTTCTCGAATGGACGTACGGCAGCTAACGGATAGCATGATCCGGATACTGCTAACCGTTAGCAGCTGTGTGAGAAAATAGCCATAGAGTTTGTTAATTATTACTTGTCTTCTTCGTGCCATAAGGTAAAATACAGCATTTATTATTAAGTGATTATAATTATTATATACTACAATAATTTGAGATTTAACAAATTTAAACTTAAATGTTATTGCTTTTTGACAATTAGAAAATCCCGGCAGTGTATATAAAATATAATTATTATTATTTAATTAAAATTTCATATAATTATCTATTAATATACATTATAATAATTTTATATATCTAGTCTAAATTGTATACCGCTTATTGACTGAAAAAAAAATTACTAGTGTTTTCGGAATATGTTCAATATAAAAATTTTGATATACTGTATGTTAGAGTGATTATATGAACAATAGGAAAATAAGGCTATGACTACCGGAAGGTGAGTTGAAGGCAGGAAGAGATAATACCGTCAGTTGAGCAAGAACTTAACGTAAAATCAACTTGGTAATCCCTGGTATCATTAACGACTGACCTTCTGACCCTGGTAAAATGGCTGGCTTATCTTGAAGCAGACTACAACATACCCTCACAACCAATCAAAAACATGAGAAACACCTTTACAACAAAATCTTCCCTCACAAAGTAAGTCTGGTCTTTAACGATTATAGATTGAGAAATAAATATTAGTATTTTAGTCTTAATACATACCTTTACAATAAATACACACACAAAAAAAAAACCCCTTTCTTTGAATCCTCTTTTAGATGATACAGATAATCCAATCAAAGCCACATACTGTAAACTGTAAATCCATTTGAAATTAATTCCCACGCGTTCCCCATCCTTATAAACTCCTTTCACATTTTCTGACTTGTACATTTCTTAGTTTCCTAAACTAGAATTAGAATAGATCTAGACTAAAAAAAAAATTACCGGTATCTATAATAATATACTTGAAAAATTATACTTAGTACTAACAAACTCCATGTATTTATTTTAAATTTATTTAATATATTTTCTTGGATGATCCATTCACATCAAAAAATGTATACCTATTGATTGCTTGAAGTTTAAAAACAAAATATAAAAAATACCGAAATAAATATAAAAAGCACAACAGTCAGAAAGTCTACAGAAAATTGAACTCCAACGAAAAACAAATTAAAACTTAATGTATACGGTCTCCTCTTCGTCTGTAGCGACTGTCCCCATAAGGAATTCCTCACATTTAAATTTATATGTACTACACATTATTATTTGTGGATAATTTACAGCTTACCCTAATCGGTCTAGACATGTAGCATGTGGTGAGGAGGTTGGTTGGGGGGGGGGGGAAGACAGAGTTGTGGTTGAAGTCTACTGTTGTTTTTAGTTAGCTAGATGAAAAAAGTTAACGAAAAAAAAAAAACCATTTTTAAAATTATTATTTATACTTGAAGGAGCAGTACCACTTGTGGCACCCCTAGGTTTACATCAAACGAAATCATATGAAATGCCTAAATTTTTTTGCCGTAAAACGGTCAAACAAAATAAAAAACATACAATGGAAACACAGATATTAATAACTTGATTGAATGAATATGAGGAAATATTTTAGGGGTGATTGGATGTCAACAGGACTTGGGCCTCAACCCAAAAATGGGTATAGTTGTCATTTTACATCATAGATAATTACAGATAAGTACTATTATTTATCTTATGAATGTCCAAAGTACACCACACCAGATTGTGGGATATAAATTGAAGGTAAAACCGAACCGGTCAAATCAAGAATGGTGGAGTTGCATTAATGCATGATGCAACTTTTTAACAATGGTGGCTCACTGTTTTAAAGATAATACTGTCATAACGAGTTGTGTATCTAAGTCTTGCAGAGGAGGGTTTTGTGGGGGGGGGGCGCAATGGTGAAATGGGGGTGGCCTAATGATTAGGTGAGGGTGCGTTAGCTCTTAGAATAAGGTGATTTGAGGTAATTTTAACAACTTCAGCATGATATTTTTTTTGGGGAGGGGGAAGTTTTTTTTTTTTTTTTGGTGTTTGCACTCCGCGCACCCCTAGATACGCCACTGGTGATAACACATGGAAAACCCTTAAAAAATCAGAAAATGAAACATTAAATTGATAAAATAACTTATGATGATACATCAACAAGAAAAAAAACAACTTTTTGATTACTTTTTGAACTACAAAAAAACTGACTATTACCAAAAACAGCATAATTCATGTGTCAATTATTACTACTGGTAGGGAATTTTTTTCTTAATCTAATTAATTTTTTCTTAATCTAATTTTTAATTAAACGATAAAAACTTGCTTAAATAGAACAATTTCGATGATACATTTCTCCAGTTTATGTATTAAAGGGAAATTTTTATTTTGTATATTTAGAATCACATCAAAGTATTTAATAAATTTCTTTTTTGATTACTTATTGAACTACAAAAAAACTGACCATTACCAAAAACAGCATAATTCATGTGTCCATTATTACTACTGGTAGGGAATTTTTTTCTTAATCTAATTTTTTAATTAAACGATAAAAACTTGCTTAAATAGAAAAAGTATGCGAATTAGATGATAAATTTCTCCAGACAGTTTATGTATTAAAGGGAAATTTTTATTTTGTATATTTAGAATCACATCAAATTATTTAATAAATTTCCACTATTTTATTAAATTACATTTTTTATCTGCTTGGTTGGTCTAACCACCATGGGGATAATTTTCTGATTCGGAGATAATTATTTTGTAATTAAATTTAAGAAACATTCTTAATATTAAGGCAAATAAACTGTTAAAACTGATACATTAAAATAATAATACAAAAAAAAAATTACATACTTTTTAGCACTCTTTTACAAAATTTGTAATCTTTCGCTTCATGTTTGTTTTTATAATCATAATCCTGATTACGCTTGATTGAGCATTTTTATGCCGTTTACAAATATTCCTGTTTTTAACCCTAAAAACCTTTATATTGAGAAACTGTG